CCAAGTGACTTCCACTATTGCTGGTTTTGCGCTAAAACAGGAAGTTATGACCAAGGCCTGAGGGACAACTGCACCCAGCTCCCTGCTTATCCCCTAACGCCAGTTCATATGTCTGGTTCGGGTAACAACACTAATAACGGAACGCAAACCAACTCCACTTCATCTTATGGGAATGGCTGCTTCGGCTATCCTGCGGGAAGATTAAACACATCCGAACCATCGATAACATTTAACACACTTATGATGATAGTCGACTCGGAGTATGATGTTTGCGTACAAGTCACTAAAGATACGCGGAAAAGTGTTGCTTGCAAAAGTTTACAAATGACTGCAGGAGACCCTCCCACCGTAGAAATCCGGTAAGTGTTACTTACCCTCAAACGTCTCTACCCTCCCTACCATAGGTGCAATTTGTCCTCTTCTTGTATGCAGCTTAAGATGTGGACATTGTAGTAATAGCGGTTAATTATCAGTGGAAACTAGGGATTCTTCTTTCAGTTGTTATGAACTTCATTTCCCTGCAGGGCGGTGCTCCTGTGCCGGGTCCTGTAAAGGACTATGATTGGGTTTAAAAAATCACAGGATGTGTTAGTGCTCGCTATAGTCAAACCCATGTTGAAGCCACTGCGCTTCACGCACGCTTTGCTTTCTATTGGAATACATCAAAGGTGCATGAAAAAATGTGCTTAATCACGATGGACTGACAATCATGCTTCCATTTTTGAAACTTTCAGTTGTGCCAGTGAGAAAGTTCCAAACTGCGACGGAAAAATCAACCCCTCGTATAAAGTAGCTTTGATCGGCGAGGCCACTTGCGAGACATGCCCTCCGCAGACTGTAACATACAAGTGGATCATATTGGTACTGAATTCTACTGGCTGGGAGGAGGTCCCAGACCCAACCAGTCTTGTCAACACCGCTCTGAACAGCCGTATGCTTGCCGTCAAACCTGGGGTGCTTATGGGTGGATACAGGTACAAATTCCGCTTGGAGTGCGAGGTTGCAAATGCGGGTAATGTGAAAGGGTTTTCTGCGTGGGAAAAAGAGGTGAACGAGCCTCCCAAGCTTGGCGTTTGTGAAGTCACGCCTCAGCTGGGTTATGCGTTTAGCCCTGACTTCACCATCGGTTGCACAGGATGGATTGACGATACCAAGTTGAAATACAGCGTTGGTGTTAGACTGGATTGCGACGCAAGTGAACTCCCAATTTCCCCCACCGTCGCTTTGCCAGTGGGTCAGAGTTACAATTTGACGTCGATAACGCTGCCCCTTGGCTCAGCCAAACACCAGTTCGGGGTCGACGTCATCATTACAATCAGAGACGAAGACGATGCTAGCACCCAAGTTATTGTTACTGTGCAGGTAAGGACGGCAGCCCATCGCAAACAAATTTCGAAGGGTGGCATGAAGCCCTGTTATCCGCCGGGGAAGGGACTGGGTGACGGTTATGGCGACGGCTTGTCACCATAGAAACATATGGTCAAATCGAGCCACAAAACCTATCAATTAGCCTGGTTAGTTTTCCAAGTTCAAGTGCGTCTATAATGCAGTCATGGATATAATAACAGTTTTATGAGTCTCTCCTTTCTCGGTCGCAGAGTGTTCAATTATCTCACAGTATCTGGAATTAACAGCGTTGATGTTTCTCTTCAAAAACTATAAAAAATCTTGATGAATTGGAATTAAATTTAAATATACTTTGCTCTATACTTCGTTTTCAAATGCAGAACTTCTGTGGGTTTAAAATTAAAAGAAATAGAAGATTAAATATTTATTACCACATTTCAGGGCTAAAGGTTAAATCAGGTTCCTAGATCTCTTAACAAGAGGCGGTTCATTTTATCCCATGCATGGCTACTAAGTGCTGCTTGCACTTTCGTATCTCAATCCAAAACCAACAGGAGAGCAAAGATGTTGAATCAGGAGGTCGAGTAGAAGCGAACATCATCTCAAAGGAATAAGGTAGACGCGTTCGATCCCGTGACGGGGAGGGGAGGTGACATTATCAGACCTTTTTTTAACTATTTCTGTTTGCTCCCTTCTTCGTACTAGGTTAAAATGGCTGAAGTAAGCGCCGACCAACAAGCCGCCATTCTGGATGCAGAGGCAGCAAAACTTGATAATTTGTTAAGCGAGGGTGATCCTGATGCGGCACTGAGTGTGATTGGTGGAATCGCTTCTGCCTTGAATTCAGACCAAGGAGATACAGACTCAGGTTCCCAAGAGAAAGATGAGGAGCAGTTACAGAAAGAGACAGAGGTATAACAAAAAAAAAAAAATGCTACATGGGACTTATTGGAAAACTCCGTAGTAAAACGTTCCCTGGCTATAAATAGATATATATATATATTAAAAAAAAAAAGTTATTCGCCTTAGGCTTACAGCCTGCAGCCTTTGCCGGGACCCTTTGAAAAAAGATGGAAATGCTGTAAGTTATGAATATATTAAGTCACAAGTGTGAAAAATAGCAGTAGCCATGGACATAGAAAGCTACCAAAATGAGAAACACTTTTTTTAGGCATAGTGACTCTCAACTTTCTTTGTACTGAAAACTCAGTGCAAAGAAGCATGTTAGTTATATATAGTTATATACTTCTCACCCGCTCATTTGTCGAGAGCTATGGTCAAAGAAGGAGAGGCAGTGAAACTAAATTAACATGTAACGCAACACAAGTTCATAGTGACATGTGCGGCAAGCTATTTGTAGACCAATTACCGTCAATTATTCGTGACCGCTCGGAAAATCGGATCGTTAGAAAAAAGTATTCGATAGAGTGAATTTGTCAATCAGGCGATTCTCAAACAAATCTTTCTTTAAACTTGCAGGTAAAATTTTAGTGTTAGTTTACAAGATCGATCTCATTTTTTTTCATTATCTACACTCTTATAGGCCATAGAAATAAAGCTACAACATCTCCATTATGTTTGAGGTTAGAATACTAATGTTGTAACGTTAGTTATATGGTCTGGGTGTAAACCACGGAAAATGCGGCCTGCTATCAAACAAAAAATTATAACAACATAATTCGAGAAACGTTACCACCCCACATGGTATGTCTTATCCAGTTGTGTGTCTTTTAACTGTTCTTGTTGTTTTTCTTGTACAGATGAAGGAAAAACTCGTGTCAGCAATATCTTCATTCCCTCCCCCGTCAAACCCTGAAGACGCTTTAAAGCAATCGGGAGCTTTGGCCGCTGTTACGTCTGGCCCTTCGTCCACGATTTCTGAAGCTGCAAAGGTACAGTACTTTATAGACTAGAAATAGCTCATCATCATCATCATCGTTATTCAAAGGAGCTCAGTCATGGCATTTTTAGCTATTTTGGCCACTTACTTTAAATTGAAGGAAACCTGAAAATAATAGTTTACTAAGAAATAAGAAAACCAAAGAGATACTAACAAACCACGAGGGAACAAGGATGGTTAAGGATGGCGAAGATTAACACGGATTACAAACGTCGAACTTGAAAAATTTAGGCTAAAATTTTCAAGATGCCCAAGCCGTGACGTAGCTCCTTTAACGAGTGATTCATGCTTCAGCGTGCATCATCGAGTTATGATACACTCAGGACGTTGGGAGAGCAGGAAAGTGGCGTCTTCTGGCCGTTTGACGATATGAATGATAGCTGATGATAGTTAGGGGCGAATCATCTGTCGTCTACTATCATGCACCATTTGACCACGGCTTTATATTTTTGTATCTATTTGTGGAACTGATATGGAATAACTATGAATATTTCTCATTTTCAGGATAAAATAGCCGAGAGCGTAACGAAAATGGCGAATGTTCTTGAACAATCAATGAGTTCCCAGCAACGTCAAAACCTGGCTGACTCTCTGATGGGAAGCATAGGTGCTGTGCTACAGTCTTCAGATGAAACGCAGTCCTCTAATGACACTGATCAGGTAAAAAAAAAAATACTGCAATTGTTGAATCGGTTGACTGGGTCGACGTTTTTCAGTGCAACACCTTTCCAACCATTAATTTTCAGTTGAAACGGTTGTTCAAATATTTATCAATCTTTTTAACCCAATCAACCAAACAAGGGGTTTCCCGCTAGAAAATAAAAAGAGAAAAACTGGACCAGCCGAAAACTGTTATTCCCTAATATTGGTGGTCAAAGCAGTGCTAAAATTATGACAAAGTACCTTTGGTTTTACATGAAATGTTCCTAGAATACCAAGACATTAAATGAATTGTTGAAGGGAGAGCAAATTGTAACTAGATACCTGTATCAGCGAGCATTCCAAAAAAGGACGATAGAATTTGAAAAATAAAAAGGCCAGACTTTTTCAGTTGACAGCACAACCTTCTAATTAATCCATAATTATATCATCCCTGTTTAGCTTCGGTAGCACTTACATGTAAAGAGTAACTTTATACAAGAATAGATCATTATAACAAAGTTTCCATAATGCATTTTAACTTATCTTTAGGGTTTGAGCTTTCGAAGTCATTCTCGTAAAATGCCCTTTTAAGAACCTATGAAGAGTATGAGGAAAAAAAAAGAGTGGGTTTTTCTATAAACCTCAAATGTTTGTAAGCAAATTGAACCTCTATGACGAGAACAGCGTTTTCGAAAGCCGATTAAATTAATCTGTTGCTTCAAAGTGTTTATCTCTGTTTATAAAGAACGTTTGAAACTAGAAAATAATATGAGAGAAATGGTAACTTCCAAAACCACATTCAAAGTTAATACTTCTCCTAGATTGCAACTTTATCTTGAGCAACTCGACCTTAGGATCTTGCGTATAGCAAGTAGTTCTAATTGGCTGAGGGGCTTTAACCGTATCTGTATTCTCCAAGCAACTTTACCTGACCGCTATATATCGGGTCTATATCCGTGGTCTACAACTTCCTTGAGTAGTGATATGTTAGGTAGAACAGTACTAGTCTGGAAAGAGTCAATTACACAGGTATTTGTACTTAATAGAGATGATGAACATTGAATAATTCCACCTACCTTCTTAGTCGGCAGCCCAGCAAAAAGTACTCGATGTCAAGAACAAGATTCTAGAATCTGCTGGGGCGTCTTTGTTGCCTGGTGAAGAATTCGCAGTGGACAATAGCGTCTGTAGCTTGAAGGCAAGTAAAGCTTTCCCAGAAGACATTACAGACGTAGGTGTCGGGGGAAGCTGTGTTGGCAATCTCGGTGGGGCTGTTGGTAACGACTCCAATGAGGCTGTCCAGATGGAGGTAAGTCCTATCTTTCATGCTTCTTTGGAGAAAAAAAATTTGACTCTTGAACAAACTGTTGCGTGTAAACGTGCAGAGAGGTACTCTTAGAAACACATTGCTTCCTAAACAACTTGTTTCCTCGCTTGCGCTGGATGATATTAAAATACCTGTAGTTACATTTTCAACGATTTAAGGCCCCGGCCACCCTAATGCTTTTTCAAAAGTCTCCGTTTTCATCCCGAAGAAGCAAAATATCTTTGCCCACACTAGCGTTTTTGCTTTGTTTTCACCAGTCCACATCACTACGTTTTCATTCGTTCTTTTCTGCGTTTTCCCACATCGTCTATACTAAAACGCTTGAAAACGCTGATGGAAGGGACAGTATGTGACGTTTTTTGCCGTCAGCGTTTTCAAAGCCTGCGTTTCCACCTGTTCACATTTGAAACGGAGGGTTTTTAAAACGATGCATTGTCAAAACACTCCACTTTTGACACCGTTTTCGAAAGCCTCCGTTGTCATTAGCGTTTTCGGGCGTTTTATTGTGGACGATAGGCGAAAACGCATCAAAACGTATGCGTTTTCAAACGAAAACACGTTAGTGTGCTCGAGGCCTAAGTTTGTGTAGCGGTGAATGAAGAATGATACTCCTGTTTGTCCATAGATGTCATCATATGGTAGCAGTCCTTATGGTAGTGGAGCAGGGAAGGTAGACAGTGGTGTATCGGAATTAGTAATAAAAGACGAAAACGGCAACCCTAAGAACGTGTCCAATCTGACTACATACATGGATATTTTCATTCCTGCGGAGAATGGAGCGGCAGAGTCGTCTTATCATCTGATCACCAAAGGAGACATGCTAGTACTGAAATTAAACGTGACTAACAACATGAGTGCGATTTATGTCTGGGCCATTCCTGCGCATAACAACACAATGACGGAGGTACTGTGTAAGAAAGGATCCGAACCAACACAAACCGACTTCGACTTTGTTGAAGTTTTACCGAAAGATCCCGTGGAGCCTGGTAACGGGTCGTGTAATGATGCGGTATCTGATTCAGATCGATATCAGTTGTTTATAGGCAGCGACGAGTTACAAATGATGAACCAGACGGCCAGTGGACTGTGGTATTGTGGCTTCTACTACAATGGGTCTGCTCAAGAGACCACGGCTCGGAGGAAGCGACGAGAGACTCCGAACCAAGAGATTGATACAGAAGAAAGCACTCCAGAGAAGAACAATCTCACCATCACCATATTTGAAGCCACTTGTAAATACTATCATACTGAGTCAAAGGAATGGAAATACGACGGTTGTAAGGTAAAGGGTATTTCTGCTACGACGAGTCTCTTTATTTAACATTTACACGAGCACCGTACCCGAGGAGCGCCGGAGAGCTTACATACACTCTTGGATGGAAGGTTTAATATGACAAAAGATTTTAAAGCAGATTCAGTAAACTATTTCATTAGTTAAACAGAACGATTTTTTTGAAACGTCTTGACAACCAATAAATTAGGAATTAGTAGTGACATTTATAAGATAAGACACCCAAGCTAAACTGAAATCCGCGAAAGTATTATTATGTATTAGAGCGGTTTTCAATTGAGTGTCGTAAAAGCAAAACCAAAGTAATCACTCTAGCCAATCACAAAGGACGCAGGCAACACAGCGAACCAAGCAAAACTCGAAGTTATTACATGTAGCTGACGCAAAGCGCGGGAAAACTTGGGCGAATGTGTTACGATTGGTCTTGGTTTGACTTCTGATTGGACGAGAAAAAGGCGCGAGTTGTTTAAGCCAATCGTGAAGTGGAGTTAATGCAAAACCAATTACTTTTCGACACTCAAATGAAAACCAGTATTCAGGGAAGTTCTACATTTCAAGTCAAGGAATTATTTCTACCAGATTATCGGAGTTTGCATGGTCAATGAAAACATGTATGAAAGTTGTTTCCTGTAAAAGAAATTAGAAGCGGCTCGAAGAGCTTCTTCTAATCTTATCAGATTTGTTGTCGACGTAAATTATTTTCTAGTGGCATTAAACTTTAAGGGAAAAGTTCCTTTTATCTTNGTCGGAGTTGACGGAATTTTCAACTCTTCCCAGGGATTCATTGACATTGTTCCTTCTGACATCATAGCTGTTATGGACGGGGGAACGTCCAGCGCCGTCGGACATGGAAAAAATACCACTGTAAGTTGTTCGCAGACCAGGGATCCAGACGTGGAAGTTAGCAATCCAAGTGACTTCCACTATTGCTGGTTTTGCGCTAAAACAGGAAGTTATGACCAAGGCCTGAGGGACAACTGCACCCAGCTCCCTGCTTATCCCCTAACGCCAGTTCATATGTCTGGTTCGGGTAACAACACTAATAACGGAACGCAAACCAACTCCACTTCATCTTATGGGAATGGCTGCTTCGGCTATCCTGCGGGAAGATTAAACACATCCGAACCATCGATAACATTTAACACACTTATGATGATAGTCGACTCGGAGTATGATGTTTGCGTACAAGTCACTAAAGATACGCGGAAAAGTGTTGCTTGCAAAAGTTTACAAATGACTGCAGGAGACCCTCCCACCGTAGAAATCCGGTAAGTGTTACTTACCCTCAAACGTCTCTACCCTCCCTACCATAGGTGCAATTTGTCCTCTTCTTGTATGCAGCTTAAGATGTGGACATTGTAGTAATAGCGGTTAATTATCAGTGGAAACTAGGGATTCTTCTTTCAGTTGTTATGAACTTCATTTCCCTGCAGGGCGGTGCTCCTGTGCCGGGTCCTGTAAAGGACTATGATTGGGTTTAAAAAATCACAGGATGTGTTAGTGCTCGCTATAGTCAAACCCATGTTGAAGCCACTGCGCTTCACGCACGCTTTGCTTTCTATTGGAATACATCAAAGGTGCATGAAAAAATGTGCTTAATCACGATGGACTGACAATCATGCTTCCATTTTTGAAACTTTCAGTTGTGCCAGTGAGAAAGTTCCAAACTGCGACGGAAAAATCAACCCCTCGTATAAAGTAGCTTTGATCGGCGAGGCCACTTGCGAGACATGCCCTCCGCAGACTGTAACATACAAGTGGATCATATTGGTACTGAATTCTACTGGCTGGGAGGAGGTCCCAGACCCAACCAGTCTTGTCAACACCGCTCTGAACAGCCGTATGCTTGCCGTCAAACCTGGGGTGCTTATGGGTGGATACAGGTACAAATTCCGCTTGGAGTGCGAGGTTGCAAATGCGGGTAATGTGAAAGGGTTTTCTGCGTGGGAAAAAGAGGTGAACGAGCCTCCCAAGCTTGGCGTTTGTGAAGTCACGCCTCAGCTGGGTTATGCGTTTAGCCCTGACTTCACCATCGGTTGCACAGGATGGATTGACGATACCAAGTTGAAATACAGCGTTGGTGTTAGACTGGATTGCGACGCAAGTGAACTCCCAATTTCCCCCACCGTCGCTTTGCCAGTGGGTCAGAGTTACAATTTGACGTCGATAACGCTGCCCCTTGGCTCAGCCAAACACCAGTTCGGGGTCGACGTCATCATTACAATCAGAGACGAAGACGATGCTAGCACCCAAGTTATTGTTACTGTGCAGGTAAGGACGGCAGCCCATCGCAAACAAATTTCGAAGGGTGGCATGAAGCCCTGTTATCCGCCGGGGAAGGGACTGGGTGACGGTTATGGCGACGGCTTGTCACCATAGAAACATATGGTCAAATCGAGCCACAAAACCTATCAATTAGCCTGGTTAGTTTTCCAAGTTCAAGTGCGTCTATAATGCAGTCATGGATATAATAACAGTTTTATGAGTCTCTCCTTTCTCGGTCGCAGAGTGTTCAATTATCTCACAGTATCTGGAATTAACAGCGTTGATGTTTCTCTTCAAAAACTATAAAAAATCTTGATGAATTGGAATTAAATTTAAATATACTTTGCTCTATACTTCGTTTTCAAATGCAGAACTTCTGTGGGTTTAAAATTAAAAGAAATAGAAGATTAAATATTTATTACCACATTTCAGGGCTAAAGGTTAAATCAGGTTCCTAGATCTCTTAACAAGAGGCGGTTCATTTTATCCCATGCATGGCTACTAAGTGCTGCTTGCACTTTCGTATCTCAATCCAAAACCAACAGGAGAGCAAAGATGTTGAATCAGGAGGTCGAGTAGAAGCGAACATCATCTCAAAGGAATAAGGTAGACGCGTTCGATCCCGTGACGGGGAGGGGAGGTGACATTATCAGACCTTTTTTTAACTATTTCTGTTTGCTCCCTTCTTCGTACTAGGTTAAAATGGCTGAAGTAAGCGCCGACCAACAAGCCGCCATTCTGGATGCAGAGGCAGCAAAACTTGATAATTTGTTAAGCGAGGGTGATCCTGATGCGGCACTGAGTGTGATTGGTGGAATCGCTTCTGCCTTGAATTCAGACCAAGGAGATACAGACTCAGGTTCCCAAGAGAAAGATGAGGAGCAGTTACAGAAAGAGACAGAGGTATAACAAAAAAAAAAAAATGCTACATGGGACTTATTGGAAAACTCCGTAGTAAAACGTTCCCTGGCTATAAATAGATATATATATATATTAAAAAAAAAAAGTTATTCGCCTTAGGCTTACAGCCTGCAGCCTTTGCCGGGACCCTTTGAAAAAAGATGGAAATGCTGTAAGTTATGAATATATTAAGTCACAAGTGTGAAAAATAGCAGTAGCCATGGACATAGAAAGCTACCAAAATGAGAAACACTTTTTTTAGGCATAGTGACTCTCAACTTTCTTTGTACTGAAAACTCAGTGCAAAGAAGCATGTTAGTTATATATAGTTATATACTTCTCACCCGCTCATTTGTCGAGAGCTATGGTCAAAGAAGGAGAGGCAGTGAAACTAAATTAACATGTAACGCAACACAAGTTCATAGTGACATGTGCAGCAAGCTATTTGTAGACCAATTACCGTCAATTATTCGTGACCGCTCGGAAAATCGGATCGTTAGAAAAAAGTATTCGATAGAGTGAATTTGTCAATCAGGCGATTCTCAAACAAATCTTTCTTTAAACTTGCAGGTAAAATTTTAGTGTTAGTTTACAAGATCGATCTCATTTTTTTTCATTATCTACACTCTTATAGGCCATAGAAATAAAGCTACAACATCTCCATTATGTTTGAGGTTAGAATACTAATGTTGTAACGTTAGTTATATGGTCTGGGTGTAAACCACGGAAAATGCGGCCTGCTATCAAACAAAAAATTATAACAACATAATTCGAGAAACGTTACCACCCCACATGGTATGTCTTATCCAGTTGTGTGTCTTTTAACTGTTCTTGTTGTTTTTCTTGTACAGATGAAGGAAAAACTCGTGTCAGCAATATCTTCATTCCCTCCCCCGTCAAACCCTGAAGACGCTTTAAAGCAATCGGGAGCTTTGGCCGCTGTTACGTCTGGCCCTTCGTCCACGATTTCTGATGATGCAAAGGTACAGTACTTTATAGACTAGAAATAGCTCATCATTATCATCATCATTCAAAGGAGCTCAGTCACGGCATTTTCAGCTATTTTGGCCAGGTATCTTTAAATTGAAAGAAACCTGCAAATAATAGGACGGAAAGAAGAAAACCAAAGAGATACTAACAAACCATGAAGGAACAAGGATGGTTAAGGATGGCGAAGATTAACATGGATTACAAACGTCGAACTTGAAAAATTTAGGCTAAACTTTTCAAGATGCCCAAGCCGTGACGTAGCTCCTTTAACGAGTGATTCATGCTGCAGCGTGCATCATCGAGTTATGATACACTCAGGACGTTGGGAAAGCAGGAAAGTGGCGTCTTCTGGCCGTTTGACGATATGAATGATAGTTGATGATAGTTAGGGCGAATCATCTGTCGTCTACTATCATGCAGCGTTTGACCACGGCTTTATTATGATATTTTTGTATTTATTTGTGGAACTGATATGGAATAAATATCAATATTTCTCATTTTCAGGATAAAATAGCCGAGAGCGTAAAGAAAATGGCGAATGTTCTTGAACAACCAATGAGTTCCCAGCAACGTCAAAACCTGGCTGACTCTCTGATGGGAAGCATAGGTGCTGTGCTACAGTCTTCAGATGAAACGCAGTCCTCTAATGACACTGATCAGGTAAAAAAAAAAATACTGCAATTGTTGAATCGGTTGACTGGGTCGACGTTTTTCAGTGCAACACCTTTCCAACCATTAATTTTCAGTTGAAACGGTTGTTCAAATATTTATCAATCTTTTTAACCCAATCAACCAAACAAGGGGTTTCCCGCTAGAAAATAAAAAGAGAAAAACTGGACCAGCCGAAAACTGTTATTCCCTAATATTGGTGGTCAAAGCAGTGCTAAAATTATGACAAAGTACCTTTGGTTTTACATGAAATGTTCCTAGAATACCAAGACATTAAATGAATTGTTGAAGGGAGAGCAAATTGTAACTAGATACATGTATCAGCGAGCATTCCAAAAAAGGACGATAGAATTTGAAAAATAAAAAGGCCAGACTTTTTCAGTTGACAGCACAACCTTCTAATTAATCCATAATTATATCATCCCTGTTTAGCTTCGGTAGCACTTACATGTAAAGAGTAACTTTATACAAGAATAGATCATTATAACAAAGTTTCCATAATGCATTTTAACTTATCTTTAGGGTTTGAGCTTTCGAAGTCATTGTCGTAAAATGCCCTTTTAAGAACCTATGAAGAGTATGAGGAAAAAAAAAGAGTGAGTTTTTCTATAAACCTCAAATGTTTGTAAGCAAATTGAACCTCTATGACGAGAACAGCGTTTTCGAAAGCCGATTAAATTAATCTGTTGCTTCAAAGTGTTTATCTCTGTTTATAAAGAACGTTTGAAACTAGAAAATAATATGAGAGAAATGGTAACTTCCAAAACCACATTCAAAGTTAATACTTCTCCTAGATTGCAACTTTATCTTGAGCAACTCGACCTTAGGATCTTGCGTATAGCAAGTAGTTCTAATTGGCTGAGGGGCTTTAACCGTATCTGTATTCTCCAAGCAACTTTACCTGACCGCTATATATCGGGTCTATATCCGTGGTCTACAACTTCCTTGAGTAGTGATATGTTAGGTAGAACAGTACTAGTCTGGAAAGAGTCAATTACACAGGTATTTGTACTTAACGGAGATGATGAACATTGAATAATTCCGCCTACCTTCTTAGTCGGCAGCCCAGCAAAAAGTACTCGATGTCAAGAACAAGATTCTAGAATCTGCTGGGGCGTCTTTGTTGCCTGGTGAAGAATTCGCAGTGGACAATAGCGTCTGTAGCTTGAAGGCAAGTAAAGCTTTCCCAGAAGACATTACAGACGTAGGTGTCGGGGGAAGCTGTGTTGGCAATCTCGGTGGGGCTGTTGGTAACGACTCCAATGAGGCTGTCCAGATGGAGGTAAGTCCTATCTTTCATGCTTCTTTGGAGAAAAAAAATTTGACTCTTGAACAAACTGTTGCGTGTAAACGTGCAGAGAGGTACTCTTAGAAACACATTGCTTCCTAAACAACTTGTTTCCTCGCTTGCGCTGGATGATATTAAAATACCTGTAGTTACATTTTCAACGATTTAAGGCCCCGGCCACCCTAATGCTTTTTCAAAAGTCTCCGTTTTCATCCCGAAGAAAGTATATGTATGAGGTGGTGATTTACACGGGATTTTCCAGCCAGGCGGGAACATCCTCGGAGGTTCGAATGGTGCTAACCGGAGGCTTAGATGAAACCTCTCCTCGTCGCTTGAAGGACACAGTGCCGGGTCGGAGAAAGTTCTGCCGGGGAAACGTGGATTACTTCCTACTTAGTGTGCCACGATCTCTGGGAAAGCTAAAAACGCTAAGAATTTGGCACGACAACACTGGGGATCATCCGGCCTGGTACCTGCTCAGGGTCATGGTACATGACGTGCAAACCGACGTGAAGACGTGGTTCATTTGCGATCGGTGGATGGCAGTGGAGGAGGACGACGGATGTGTAGAGCGACTTCTGACCCCAGCCAGTAAAGAGGAACTCACGAGCTTCAATTTGCTATTCTCCACCGAAGCTCGAAAGAACTTGACAGATGGACATCTGTGGTTCTCTGTGATTACTCGCCCTGCCAAGAGCAACTTCACTCGAGTGCAGCGCCTCTCTTGTTGTCTGTCAATTCTGCTCTGTACCATGCTTGCCAACGCCATGTTTTATCAAGTTGGTGACGAGTCTTCCACCGGGACGTCGGTCCACGTGGGACCCTTTAGCTTCTCTATAAAACAATTATCCATCGGTATCACTAGCAGCTTAGTAGTACTCCCTGTCAATGTCTTGATCGTGACGTTTTTCCGGAAAGCGCGGCCTGCCGAAGCCAAGACAAGCTTGGACAAAGACCAGGATCCACATGGCCAAAGTACGAAGTACGAGGTTTCGGTAGAGAAGGCGAAAGAGAAGAGCAAAGATTCGGAGGCCCATAATGAAGAAGACGAAGACAAAAAGAAGGACAAGAAAAAGAAGAAGAAAAAGACTCTACCGCACTATTTTGTGTACATATCTTACGTCTTGGTTTTTATCGCTTGTACGGTATCGGCGACATTTACTGTGTTTTATGGACTGACTTTTGGAAAAGAGAAATCGGAAGGCTGGCTCTCTTCCATGATGATTTCATTTTGGCAGGACGTGCTCATTTCACAGCCTCTCAAAGTGAGTTTGTTCTTTTCTACTGTTATTTACGATTGTTCATAAAGTAGGTGGGCTAATATGTGAGCGATTGACCAAGACTTTTGCGTCTGTCTTCATGAGTCAATAATCCTAGCCTTGCAGTTGTCAGTCTTGCGCTTGGGTACATGGCTCTCTCGCAGTGTTTCGAACAACCTAGTATATGAGTAACCCAGTACATGAGTGTCTGTGATGTTTGTGTAAAAGCTGTAGCAAAATGCTAGGGAGGGGGATAGAACTTCCGGAATAGAATTGTGAAAAGTTGACCTATATCATGTGTTAGAGTAAGTATTTCCGCTAAAAAGCGTTCATTACTCATGTTTAAAACCACCACGTGCTCCGCCCTGTTTGATTAACCCTCAGGTGTTTGCAGCTGCCATGTTCTTTGCAGTCGTGATTAAAGATCCAAACAAAGCGGAAGAAGAGAGCGATCAAGAAGGCAACGAGCTGAATCCGGACGAAGAAGCACTTCACGACAAGACAAAGAACAGCGAAGAAGAGAAAGCCCTTCGCAAGGTTGGCTTCGTTGACAAACCGCCCAACCCAGAAAAACTGGAAGCGGCTCGTCAGCTTAAACTGAAGCAAAAAGAGATGAAGTCCATTATCCGCGAGGTTCTTCAGTACTTTTTTTTCCTTGGAGTGTTGCTCGTTGTCGCCTATGGCAGCCGCGACCCGATGGCTTTCAGCGTGACAAGCGCTATGAGGACTGTCTTCGAAGATGGCAAATACACGGGACTCGATTCATTTGACGAGGTATTAAACTGTTTCCTTCTAAGATCTTAAAATTTGATTGGAATTACATTCCGTTGTTCTGTGTTCTCACGACAGAACTTTGAAAATTTTGGTCTGCTAAATTGGCGCGCTATGATAGCTGGGATCGTTCCGTAGAAACAAAATGGCTGCTGCTTTATTGTAAAGTATTTTAACGTCAAGTAAATCTTTGATTTAGGGGCTCTAAAACCAAATTGATAAACCTTTTCTATAGTACTTTCAGATTTTGTTTCACAACTATCGACCCGGCTACGTTACTCATTATCTACCATAGAATACATAACGAGCCGCGAAGCTGGTCAAATTCCGGCTAGAACACCTGTCGTTTCTTCTAAAACTGGATATTACACGATTCATTGGCAATGTCATTTATTCATGACCACCAGTGTTTGAAGAAGTTTAGGAGTTGAGAAGCGAGAGAGAATGATGTAAGCCTAGATCATCCTCTCTTGTGAGAATTGAATGTCAATTGCCTTTCTATTCCGTAACAGGTTTCAGATTTTGGCTCATACTGGAATTGGATACAAGTCACCTTTGTCCCTTCACTGATGCCGCGTTACTGGTATGGTCCTGTTGACATTGATGAAAGCGATCTCGTGAATGAAGAGAGCACGAACC